TCATTTTTTTACTTTAAAAAAATTGAATTATCAATAATTTTTCTTATTTTAAGAAAATTAAATTATCTTATATTAAAAAGATAATTAAATTTATTTATAATTTTAATTTATTTTTAAATATAAATTAAATATGATATGAAATTATTATTATACTATTCATTATATGTACCAACCATATTTTTAAATAATTAAAATAAAATATAAACTAGTACGTCGTAAGATAATTTTGTAAAATTCTTTCTCTGTCTGAGTTGCCGGCGGACATTGCCATTGCCTAACGCAATAATTGCTGATCGTAGCAAGAGATAAATACAATAAATTCTTATATAATATTCTGTTTATTCTTGGTAAACTTTTTTTTCTTTTTACAAATGTAAAATTACTATATATGGATATGGCATTCACTTTTAATTTTTAAAATGTTTTCTTTTATTCGTATATATTAAAATAGATTGTACTATTGTTTATTTTAAATTATTTTTATTTAAATAATCTATGTCAAAAGTACAAAACATATATATATATATATTTACTAAATAGTGCACATAGCAAATTACCATTAACAGGCACTAGATTCTCGGATGTCATCTTCTGTTTGCTCATAAAGTGAAGGACTTTTAAATCCACCCTTTTGCCCAGCCATATATGAATTTAACATCCCCTCCTCAAGAGACAACACAAGTCACTCGAATAAGACAAGGAAATGAACAATGAACTCATCATTCGCATTGTATCTAACTATCCATAAATTAAAATCACATCATTCAAAACAACACACCGTCTTTCTATATACCCAAACAAATAGCAACTAAACATACATTCCCTTTGCGCTTAAAATTTCCATTTTTTTTTCTAGTTTCTTTCTTTCACTAGCCTAGCAACCATCAATCGACCATCAAACTTTTGTATATTCATATTTAAAATAAATAAATGTTCCAAGTCAGAGATTATTATATCGTTTATGAGTTTGTTCAAATAAATGGGTAACTAGGCATCTTTTCTCTCATCTTGGCTCTATTCTCCCAGCCTCTTCTGCTCTTCCCTTTTTCTCTCAAGTTTCTCCATCTACTATCGCCATTCCTACTCAAACAACTGTCTCTCACGAGCACACTTCTCCACCATCTTCCTTGATTGCATCCTCGTCCTCTATTGTTGATGAAAAAAAATTCCCTAAGCATTTCCTGGAGACCAATACTAGTGCCAGGATTTGGTCTAAGATATTTATCCAATACAATTCTATCAACTTTCCTCTTGCGTGAAATGCTTCTAGCAGGCCTTTTCTCTTCACATTCATCTTCATCCTGATGGGAAATCAACACGGGCGTGCAACACTGACACACTAAATAATAAACTTAAATAAAAAATAAAAACACACAAATATATTTATTTTGGTCCAATTCAAAATAGCTTACTCTAAACCTAATCCACCAATAAATAAATTTTTATAATTGTGACACTTTTAGAATGAGAAAAATCACTAAAAACTCCTACTTAAAACTTAATCAAAAACTCAATTATACATTTTTAATAGCTTACTCACTTAGCTATTCTCTTAATATCTAACTATCTGTGATTACTAAACCAAAATCAAAACATCTTATTTATAAGGATAAAACCCTTATTCTTTTAGTAAACCCTCAATGTGGGATATAAAACAAACTCAAACTCTTATAACTTCACTTAACTTTTGATGTGGGATTATGAGATTCAAAACAAACCCCAACAAATCCTCTTTTAACTTGAATCTCTAAACACTTCAATAGTATCTGTAAAACTGACTCACTTACCTTTCTTATTTTCTTTCTCAACAATTAAGCCTCCATCAAGCATGTACAAATAATTTTTTACCCTATTTTCTTGTAGAATTATACTACCAATATTGTATACTTTCAACCAATCATTATTACCATAGTATATGTACCCCTAATAAGCTAAATCACCCAAAGCAATCAAATTATAGTTACAACTCGATACATACCTTACATGACGAAGCGTCCTAACAACACCATCATGAGATCTAAGATGAACACTTTCAATGCCTTGAATCTGTACATTTTCATTGTTAATGGCCATAATATCCTCACATTTCACATTCTCTACCAACTCCACAAAACAACTTTTATTATTGCAGACATGAACTCTAGTAGCTAAATCTAAAACCCAACCTTTATCATATTTTTAAATCTGATTTTTATCCACAAAAGTCGTCAAAACAACATCATCATCATCAGACACAACAACAACAGTATCATTCTTTCTTTCATCCAATTTTTTTCATTATTCACCCTTTTGAAAGCAGCTATATCATTTCTCAGCTTCTTGCAACACATTTGGATATGTCCATTTTCACTATAATAATAACATTCAATGTCACTATAATCTCTGCCTTTTGATTTAGATTTTCTTCTTGATCTATTAACCCTCTTTTAATTTTTTCTATATCAAAACTCTCTACAACTAATGTATTCCCTCTAAGTAATGAGTTATATGTTTCCATAAACCTTTTATAGGATAGTCACATCATCTAATTTCAAAGTAAACTTACTCACCAACAAAGTGTGAACTAAAAGCCTATAAGATTTGAGCAAAGATAATAACGAAATTAAAGTCTTATTTTAATCATCTAACTTATCAACAGAAACCATCAACAATTGAGAAACCAATTTATTAAATTTATTCAGATTACGAAGACTCGTACTTTCTTTCATTTTCAGAGAATACAAATCTATTTTCAAACATAATATGTTAGTTAATGACTTCGATGCATAAATACCCTCAAGCTTAACCTACAAACTCTTCAGAGTACTCTTAGTCCACATATTATATTTTACCTCTTGGGCTAGCGCTAATATAATATTACTAAAAGTTTTCTTTTGAAGTCTATTTCAATTACTATTAGACATTCTCTTAGGCTTAAGACTCTTTAATGCTTGATTCAATATTTGTTGTAATAACAGATCTTGAATCATACTTTACCATAACATAAAATTACTTTTTTCACCAAAATAACGAAATCTCAAACTTGGGTATAAGCATACTAGACATACCTTCTTAAGATATCTTGAAATACTTGTTTTACAATCTCTTGGACCTGTATCTTTTTCTCGTGAACCTCGCTCTATTGAAAAATTAACACGCATGTGTAACACTGACACACAAAATAGTAAACTTAAATCAAGAATAAAAATATAAAAATATATTTGTTTCATCCAACCTAAAATGATCTATTCCAAATCTAATATGTGAGACTTTTAGAATGAGAAAAATCACTAAAAACTCTTTACTCAAAATTTAACCAAAAACTTAATTATATTATTTTAATAGTCTATTCACATAATTATTCTTTTGATATCTAATTATTTAGGATTATTAAACCAAAATTAAAACATCTTATTTATAAAGATGAAACCTCTTATATTTTTTCTAAACTCTCAATGTGAGATACAAAATAAACTTAAACTCTTATAACTTCATTTATGAGATTATGAGATTAAATTTAAATACCAATAAATCCCTGTACTCTTCTTCTTCTTAAGAGAATTCATACGAGGATCTATCTGCACTTAATCTCTTCATTCTTCTCTTTGCCTAGGTAAAACCTGCCTCAGATTCAAGTAGGAGGCTCTGCACAATGAAAACTGTATTGGAAGCATTTTGGAAAGATTGCAATGCACAATATTGGTGACAGCAAAAAGGGTTCTTTATTTAGATGCATCCAGTGCAGTGACATTTTTGAGCAGGAATAAAATCATTCATTGTTATACTATACATGGTTAACGTCAGGTTAGGAGGAATGAGGAGGCTGAGAGAGGATAAAAACCATGTACATACGTACTATGAGAAAATGACAAATCAGGAAAGAATGATTAGACATGTTTTTTTTTTTTAATCTTTTGAATTCTAGAAATGTCAAGAATGTTAAGTATTTAAGAGAAAAAAAATTAAACAAAATAAGAACAAAGAAAGGACCTTGTGTCGATTGAGAAGATTTTTCCACTTGCACTTGCACTGATCAAGGGTTCGGCTGCAGCCACTGTCACTCATTCTGACACTGACAATCTCCCAAAGGATCTTGTTGCGCTTGGCGGCGGTGAAGTCCCTTTCAAGCTCACCCCGTAAGAGGATCAGCTTCCGAGTCTCTTTCTGCCCTCACTGCCCGCCCCCCGCCCCCGCCCCCTAACATGCTGCTGCTTATTCGCTCCCCAACCCCAACCCCACCACTTAGGCATCCCCACCACCAAGCATTTCCCTTGCTCCTAGCAATCCTTCTTCCTTTTATTTGGGGTTTTCTCATCATTCAGCTCCCAGCCCCGCCTGGCTCCTACCCTTTATGCCATTTTACTAGTTTTTTAATTTTATTTTCGTTTTGATAATACAGCTTTTTATTGTTTTTGAATAAATAAAAATTCAAAAACACATAAACGCACGCACTTATTGCTCAACGATATTCTAAGGTGATATAGCTTTTTTTTTTAAACTTTTTTTCAAGTACAAAAAAAACACATTGTATTCAATGATTTTAAAGGTGTTTTTTTATAGGAACGGGTTTAAAAATTTTGTGGCCAATTAAAGTTTATATTTTTGGCTCACTGTTTGAATAATAGTTTTTAATAACTGTCAATAAAACAAAGATAAAATGAGTTATATGCTAATACCATATTATGGCCACTGATTTTAATTTCACGTATTTTTAACTCTAATAATGATCATACTTCCAAAAAAAAAAAACCTATAATAATGATTATAATTACACTTATTTATAACGCTACTAGCCATTGGTACAGGATCTCCTACTTTTGTAAAATTTCAATTCTCCATTTCACTGATATATAACTTTAATTTCATGCAATAAAATAAAATAAAACAATTTACATTTTTAATTAAAATAATTAGGTATTTCACAGGATAAAAGGTAATCCAGCTAAAACCGTGGCAATGTAAAAATTTTTCTTTTTGTTTTTAACCAATTTTCTGTTCAGACCAAAAAAAAATTGTCAGCTTCCAGAAACTGTCTTTCAATCAGGAAACCTCCACATCTTACGCTGCCCGCTTGAATACAAAAACAACCAGAGACCTCAAGAGGAACCAAAAGTTTGTAGCTTCACAAAAACGATTTTCATATCATTTCTAAAACACAATCTACATTGCTTGGACCACATTCTCAATGAAGCAACCAAGAAATTCATCTTTGTGTGTCAATTGAAAAGGACAAAAACTATAGTATTTTCAATTACAAAGTTCTTTGCAACTAACACAAAAAGCAAGACCACGAAAACAGCATCAAATTCCCCAAACTAGTATATCTCATCATCTGGAATATCAGGGGTGATGAATTTCCTTGGATCCTTCATCATTTCCTCCAAGTTTAGTCTTGGCTTCACTCTTTCTGGCACAGGGACCAATGGAATGATGCTATCTCTATCAATAACTCCATCAATCATTCCATATTCAACTGCTTCAATTGGAGACATATAGTGATCTCTATCAATATCCTTCTGGACTTGTTCAAACGAACGACCAGTAAAACCAGAAATTATTCTCGTCACATTATTCTTGTTATGCATAATTTCCCGTGCTTGGACTTCTACATCTTTAACTTGTCCACTAGCACCTCCTAGAGGTTGATGAATCATTATTCGTGTGTTTGGCATTGCAAGGCGCTTGCCTTTGGTGCCACCACCAAGGATAATAGAAGCTGTTGATGCTGCAATGCCAAGTGCAACCGTGGAAACATCAGCCCGGACAAGCTGCACTACATCATATATAGCCATAGTAGCACTGATACAAATAGCAAAAACAGAAGAACATTAGCAAAGGACAGACAACCAAGGTGGTACAATCAAGAAATCAAATAGTAAAAGACAAAATGTTGAAATGGAACCATTAACAGGAAAGTTTCTATTCTTTGTATATCACCAATCAAAGGGATGGGAAGGAGAATAGAGGGGAAAGAAGAGAGTAAATTACCCTTATTCGGATTGCACAACCAAGAAGAGGAAAGCAGAGGAAAGGTTGTGCAAGCAAGCTTATTTTTGGTTGATTGGTAAGGGAAGGAAATGGAAATTGATCATGTTCATTAGCAATTATTTTCTTCATATCTTTAGGGTTTAGGGTACGCTAAAATTTTGATTTAGGGTTGTGTCAGAGTAATTATGTGAGAAATTAAAAAAAAAAAGTTGATAAGGAATCCTTCCCTTCCAAATCTCTCCATTAGAGTTTTTGAAAGATGAAGGTTTGGACTTTGGAGGGCTTTTTGCACCAAAATCCTCCTATTCCTTCCCCATCCACTAAAACGTTTCCCTTACAAAAGAGGGTACCCTTCCCTCAATACAAACAAAGCCTTAAGCCCCAATGAAAATATAACATGTAACAATGCAGACATTTCTTATAGCCTACAATGATGACCTAAACTGCACTTATAAAGTTCCAAGAATATGCACACTTCGAAGCCAAATCTCCACTTCGACTGACCCAAGTGATACCCAAAGATTGCATAAGCTAAGGACTGGCCACCTTACCCAAGGAAAGGGCAGGTTAGAAGAAGATGAGGAAATGATTCAGCGGTCTCTTTAGACAGAAAACACCTATTGGGCATAATTTGGCCCTTTTTTTTAAGATTTGGAATAATAAAGGCACTAAGAAACTCGAGCTTGGTCATTAGTAGAAACAAATAATATATAATCACACCAATTGAACAATAAGATCATGTAATATCACATGCTAATTTAATGATGAAGGACGACTATTTATGCTTGGATGAAGCAACAGAATTTCCATTCCCAAGTTGATGGTGCAAACCAAGAGTTGTAATCGGGCTTGCTGGACATTTATATCATAGGCTCAACTTTGATTTGATATCTATTTTAGGCTATTAAAGTTAGGATTTACCTAACGAGTGCCCTAAGGGCACATTTTAAGGTAAACACATTAGAAACGTGTCTTTTTCTAATGCATTGTAACTATGACATTAACTATCAACTACTGCATTTAATACAAAATTATTACTATAAATAGTATTTTAACTAATTTTAAAGAGTGCCCTTAGGGCACTCATTTGCAAAACCCTTTTAAGTTATTTTTAGTAATTAGACTCACTTGCTTACCAAGTTCTAGGGCTAGGAAGCAGTCTGTAAATACAGATATAGGATGCTACCCCATAGAGTGGGGTTTATAAACCAGATAGATCTTGAAATCATTGCTATGAGGCTCCTTCAATAGGCAATATCAGTAAAGTTGTAATGCCCTAATCCAAGGAGAATACCACTCCATTAATTAAAATTGCCATATCATTTCTAAGATCCTATCCAATAGTGTGATACTAGTTGAAGATCAAATAATAGTCATTATTCAGTTTGGTAAGGGCATATGAAAGTGATATCGAAAAAGATACCTTCAGACAGAATTTTTGCTATAAAGTAACTCACCAAGTTATTAGTTGTCAGCTCAAGAAATTACCATTGAACAAGACGACAGCCTTCAAAGAAGAATAAGTCCATTTGTGATTTCTCCTCTCTTTTTTTTCTTTAAAAAAAAAAAAACCTACCCCTTGATAAAATGTCTGATATGTATTTCCCAGATATATAGTAAAAATTTCTCTCTTTCCCAGTCAGAAAACACAGGCCGGCATCAACTGTGACCTTTTTTTATCATCATAGAATGAAGAACGTGTATGCCTACATAAATAACTGGACCTACCACCATGATTAGGAGGAAGGATGACAAGACAGTTCAAACATTAATGAAACTTACAATTTTTTCGTTAGCTAATTTTATTGAAAATTATGATTTCAGAATTGGTCATCATCAGTTAAGAATTTACTTTATCAGGGTTTGGCTGGCAAAAACATTGCTGGAAGATAAAGATTATGATGCTGGAATTTTCCAGTATGGGCAAGGTTAAAGTTGATTTAGGGTTAGTAGTTTAAAGGGAAAGAGAATATCTGTGTATAGGGTTTATTAAAGCTTTGAAGAGATGAAGGTTCAGAAAATATATACATATATATATATGGCAAGAAAAATGGATTTATCTTATTAGCTGTTGTTGACAATGAACACTAATTTGACGTACTTCTTCTAGCCTCATGTCAGGACTCTTATAAATGCCTCTACAGTCTACATGCAACAAGGTCTTTCCTATATAAAAAAACAGCAAAGTCATTCTGGAAATTAACAACACAAAAACAAAGTGACTTTGAAATTTTCAAAATGTATTCACTACAGACATCAAGGCTCCCTTTGGTTCACAACATGGTGAAAACATTTCCTCTTCTTCGTGGAATACAGGGAAATGTTTTCTATTCTTTGAACAACATGGTGAAATGTATTTCCCACTGTTTGGAATGCAATGGGAAATTTTTACTGTTAACATCAAATCTCATGTACTCATTAAGACATTGCTAGCTTTTCTATCGTGCTTAAGACATCAGTTTATCATCTCATCACCCATAAAAACATATATTAAGTTCAAGAACCAATTTATTCATAACTTCAAGATCTTATTGGTTAGGAACAAAGAAAAGAGAAAGGAGGTGCCCAACAGAAGTGACATCACCAAGAGGCTTCTGATACAAAAGAAAGAAAGGAAAAAACTTAGTTAAGCAAGGAAAATAAGTTCCCAAAGTTGTTTTCCTGATTTCTCCCAATGTTTTTCCACTGAGAAAAAGTTATTTTTTGTTGACCACATTTTTTGGTTTACCAAATTCTTGAAAATGCAGAACACAACTTCAATAACCAAACATTATGTCCTAATTTGAAATTAGGAGGCAATAACTTCATGAATTTTTGGGTCTGATGGCAGGAATGAGAAGATAATATAAAAAAATCAACTTTTGCACTGGGGCGAATAAAAACATTCCACATAGGCAATCCTCATTGAGGAAAACTTACAAGGACTCAAATAGAGGCCTTAAAAGATGGAATTCAGTAAGATAGTAGAGAAACATATAAAAATCTACCCATAAAGGCATATGTATTTCTAAATTACTTTAAAAAATATCCTAGCATGACATCTGAACAAGAAGAAAGATAACATACTTGACCAAATAATAAAATACTTGCTAACATGGTGAAACAAATTTTGACACAATATGTACACATCCAAGCCCAACGATCTTGTCAGAAATTCAAATAAATAGAAGACAAAAAAAGAAAGAGCTAATGAAAAGGTTATGAGATAATAAATGCAAAAGAAGTTTAAAGATTAAGCATATAACTATTCCAAATCCCAACTGCAAAATTTTCAAAAACCACCAAGAAGTTACAAACTTAAACAAAGTAGTAATTTTCAAGGTTCCAAATAAAGACATTACAAGACACTACAAGGCAAAGACAAAATGTAATAACATTTAATTTCCCATATAAAATTAGGGAATTCATCTAGTGAATTTTTAAAGAAGCCCTGTGGCATCTTTGATAAGATTGGTTTTGGCTCAAGTCTACCAATTAGGAGTACCCCTTAATATGTAGAAGACCAAGAAACTTCAAGTAATTTTTACTATGTTGTCCACGCTAGTTGTTAACATTCCAAAGAATGAAAGCATGTTAAGATTTAAGAATATGTAGGCTATAGGATATAGAAGCACAGGAAGCTAAGAAGAAACCTGTGAAAAACACTTTCTTGAAAAGTTGAGAAACCAATAAAATATGAAGTACCCTAATTTTGCAAGGAAAGACAGGGTACCGAGCAGATGCAGCAGAAAAAGTGTTTTGCAATTGATAAGGAGAAACCAACACAATTATCCTTTTCTCTTGCTATTAACTGTTGACTTGTGAACAACATAAGCATCTAAATTGCAGCATAAACTATTGTAGCAAACTCTCCTCCATACTCCATAGGTGTAAAAAAAAAAACCCAAGTGAAAAACTGACCAGCAGTATCTGGGTTAATCGGCAAAGGGGTTAAGGCATTAAACAATATAAAAGCCGTGAAAAAAGGCATACCTCAAAGAACCACCAGGGGAATTAATGAAGAGTCTGATATCTTTATTAGGGTCCTGAGCATCCAAAAGCAGCAACTGATTGATAATGGCATCGGCGACAAAATCATCAATGTAGTTACCTAGGAAAACAATGCGCTCCTTGAGCAGTAAACCCATAGCGTCAGCTTCCGCCCCTCGCATAGCGGTGGCGGGGCTCTGAGGGGCTGACAATTTTAGGCACTTAGGAGTGGTTTTCAGTTTGACAGATGAAGAAAGGGGTTTGGGTGTGAAACACAAAAAGGAAGGCTTAGGGTTTGGGAAAGTAAGAGACGGTTTATGTTTAAGTTTAAGATTAAGAGATGACAAGGAAGGGGTTAGAGGAGATGAGAGCGAGAGCAAGTCCATGGTGTGTTTGTGGAGTGAGAGACCCGGATAAACTCCGACTCAAGCCGCGACTCTTTTTCCTGTTGATTTCACCGCAAATACCAACTTGCTTATTGTATTATTATCTTCTTTGTGAATTTGTGATTTTTTCTTTCTTCTCTTAAACTCCTCCCGAGTCTAATTAGTGGAAAAGATTATGAACGAATATTTTTATTGTGTAAAATTTCAGAAAAATTTTAAATTTTTTTATATTTTTATATGGTTATTTTATTTTAAAATTATATTTTTATATAGATATTTTTATTAAAAAATTTTAAAAAATCTAATATTAAATAATTATTAATTAAACTTAAATTATAAATAATATTTTCAATAATTTTTATATAATATTAATTTATTCATCAAACTCCATCATTCTATTAATTTAAATTTTTATTAATATTTTATTAAATTTTTTATAATAAAATTTATAAATTTCAGATAAATAACTTTATTTAAATCCTATCCTAATCAATTCAATTGTTTTCTTTTACAAAATATTAGAATGCATCTCCTTATAATATTTATTTTTTCTTTTAATATATATATATATATATTAAATGATCAAAAATTTTATTTTATAAATAAATAAATATATATATACAAACAACCGTCATATTAATTCAATAAATTTTTTTAACTTAATCTAAATATTAATTTTCTTTTAAAATATTTGTAGAAAAGAATAATTTTTGTTTATAAATTTAAAATATCCATACATTCGAATATTTGTAAAATTATCAACAAATTAAATCACAATAAATTTATAAGATCAAAATTTAACCATCATAAATTGAAAATTGTTTTAAATGTTGTAATCATAAATAACAAAATTGATACAACAAAAATATTATTTATGAAATATTTTTTTAACCATAACTTGGGAATAAAAAAATAAATTATAAGTGTTAAAATTCAAACTTTAAGTTATTAAATATTACATCTTAAAATATTATATAATCCAAATAAATTAAACTATGAATTCAAAACCATCTCTATTTGTAACACATTTTAAAGTGATTTCATTAGGAAGGTTTAAAAATTTGTTGGTGTAATTTATTTTTTAAATTTTTTATATGTATTAATAGATTTTTTTTGTTATTAAGAAAAATATAAATTGATAACTTTTTACATTTTGTAATTTGCGTACAAATCATATTACATCATAAATTTTTCTAAAGAATGTATCTAGAAAAAAGGAAAATAAATAAAGAAGAAAAATATATAATAGTGAAAAGGTTTCACACTTTTTTTCCCTTGTTTTTCTTTTACAAAAAAATCTAAAACTTTTTGCATAAGTTCCAATTAGAAAACAATGATCAAGAAAAGAAAGGAAAATAACCACACAAAAAAAGGTTCAAAAAAAAAAAAAACTAAAACCATAAAAAATTCAAAATGTATGTCAATCTTTATAACTTATAACATCCAAAATTTCTCATAAACTTTTAATATTTGATTTTTTTGAAAAAATTTAGGTTATCTTTTTCTGAAAAAAATCTAAAAAAGAAAATAAATATATGAAAATGAAATATGAGAAAAAATAAGAATGATGAAACAAATTCATATTAAAATTTGTTATGATTTAATATGTTGTATGGGTATTTTCTAATGCACTGTAAAATGCTTTGATTTTTTATTTTGGTTAATGGATATTGAAATTTCTACCAAAATAAAAACATTTTTTTATCAGGGGAAAACCGAATTCTTTTTAAAGGAAAAAAGAGAAAAGAAAGAGAAAGACAGTTTTGCGTGGGCTGGTCTGGATTGGTTTAGACAAGCGTTGGCTTGTCAGTACAGGCTTAGTGACGGCCCGTCAGCCCATCAGCAAGAGAATCTAAACGTTGTGGAAAGTTATATAAAGAATGCCAAAACCGAAAAGAATAGGGTGTCGGGTTAGGTCAGGCTAGAGTCTGGAATCGTGGAAATTTCTTTTGCATAGCGACAGCCCTGTTTTCCTCTGTTTTTAGGGTTTTCTTAGTGATACAAAGTCTCCTCCTGATTTCGTAAATATACATATATATATGTTCTCTCGGAACCCTTTCCAAATCAATCTAGGATTTGTCTGATTACGCTGTAATTGCTTATAACTCAATTGATCAACTATGTTTGTATTGTCTTCTCCATTGATGACTTGCATTGTGATATTCCAAAACCTGCGTGTATTTGGTCCTGGTTTGAATCCTTTTTCTCCTTATTGCATTGCTAATCATTCCCTTGCTTCTCGCTAATTTTAGGTATCCTCCTTTTCTTCTCTATCATGTAATTCTTCCCCTCCCCCTCTTCCTCTTCAGCTATCAGGGAAATCTTTTTTTTAAAAATTTCATCTCACTGTGAAATTCCACCGCTTTACGACAATATCATGTAATTCTGCTCTTAGTCAATCAATCAATCTTGGTCAAGTTTTGGGGGATTTTTCTTTTTTCTTTCCTTAGTTTCGAAGAAAAAAATCTGAAACGATATTGGTTGGATTTTGCAATTGATTGGAAGAATATGCCCCAAGAGCATTCCTTGCGGAGAAATTTGTCAAGAAGGCGATCCTTTAGGTCTGGGGTTGATAGGGATGATAGGGGTTGGACAATGCTCCATGTCGGAGCCCGAAAAGGTGACCTCAATCAGGTATCTTTCTTTCTTTGTATTTTTTTCCACCTTATTCTTCTTCTTAACCATTTTATAACTGGTTTTTAACTAGTAGTTGCTTATGTTTTATGCTTTCATGAATCATGATAATCGTCGCCGCATATAATATCTACCTTTTGATGGATCAGTAAGATATTTACTGCTAGGGCTTCTACCGTTGTTTACGAAAAGAGATGCTTCATGCTTTTTAGGTTAGATATTTGTTCTTTGATTTATTACTCTTCCATTCTTGCATTTTATCAGAAATATTCATTCTACCTGGATTTTATATATTGGGAGGAATGACTCCCAATTAGCTCTTCTGTAATTTATTTTTGTGGGATTCCCATGGGCCGTATCCCCTCATCAGTTGTTTTTACCACTTACTTATTTTCTTGATCTTCACTAGATTCCCATATCCTTGTTATGTGTTTAAGCTTCGTTGTTACCGGGTTTTTATTTTTATTTTTGTATATTATTTGTGTTTCTTGCAAAACGGTTTGCTGCTTGAACTCCCCTAGCCCATGGAATGTTGATCTAAGATTCCTTGGAACAGGTCAAGCAACTCCTCGATGAAGGAATGGATGTAAATGTGGCCGCATGGGGCCCCAAATCTAAAGGTGTCACCCCACTCCATCTTGCTGCCGAGGGTGGCCACCTTCAAGTAATGGATGAACTTCTTGAACGTGGTGCTAATATTGATGCAAGAACTAAAGGTGCTTGTGGTTGTAAGTGTCTTAATCTCACATTTTGCTATTCTGTTATTTTCATTTACTAACTACCAAAATTAAAATTTTGTGTTGTGGATAACTCTATAGTCTGGCAAATACATAAATACAAAAACTACAAGTTAATTTGGGCTATGCGAACCACTAACTTTTAATTCCACAGTTGAACTTCGTTAATTAGATTATAATTGGTGACTTAAATTTAGCTTGATGAACTGGATATCTTCTTCAAAGATTTCCTCAATTTAAGCGTCAGTTCACATCAAACGCATCAAAACAATCAACTGTATATTGCAGTAACTACCAAAACCCATAAAAAAACCAACGTCATCATTACTGGTTTAGGCCAAAAGCTTAGCCTCCACTGAGCCCAACATTGCAGTTCTATTGTCTTTATGTCATGAGTTGTACTTGTGTACCATTTTTCCTGTTATTTTCACTCTTGCTTTCTTGCAAACTGTGATTCATTTTTTAACAAGAACGTTTGAAAGAATTTTAAGGTGATGGTCACATGTAATCTGGATGCAGATTAGATTTTCATTTTTCATGTTTTTGTGCATAATTGACAAAATTCAATTTGACATATAGAAGACTTGCTAATTCATGATGATTTGCGCATGTATTATGGTTATATATACTAGCGGAGCTCACAGTACTTACAGTATTGATGGCCTGGCAGGGCAACATCAAGTTAGTGAATGAAATTGTGGGGTTTGATATTACAAAAATTGAAACTTCAGGATTCGATATAAAACAGAGGCCTAGATGTAATGCTACTGATTTAATTACCCCTTATTTTTTGTTCAGCTTGCAATTCTCTTATTCCATTCTGATTATTGAACTCAGGGACACCACTTCATGCCGCAGCTAAAGAAAGAAAGAAAGAAGCAGTCAAGTTCCTGATAGAGAATGGGGCATTTTTGCCAGATGACATCAATGACAGCAGATTTAATCCACCACTTCATTACTGCCCTGGCCTTGAATGGGCATACGAGGAGATGAAGCGTCTTCAAAGAGAGAGCTTATCAGCCGGGGAGGCATCATATAGCTCTGAAAGTTGATGCTCTATCATCACAACGGTCTTGTTGCACATGTTTGGACTCTGGTGCTTTCATTTTATCTCCGAACTATTGGCTTAAGTGATGCTTTAGCCAATGCTTTTGTTTTTCATGGCTCTGTTGCATACTTGTATCTGTTTGATTTTCAAGCCTGCGTCTTTTCCATATGATGCCAATAAAGTACCTACATGCTTATGATGCCTATTTGACCCTGTGAAACTGCGCTGTCAGAATTCAATATTTTGCGCTCTCACTTGCAAAAATGAAAACCTTTGAAAATATAATTCGTTTTTAAATATAGTACTATACTTAAAAGTAGGTTTTTTTCCAGTCAAATGTAAGGATCACGTTTGCCAAATCTCTCTCCTTCTTTTATCTTTATGTTTAGTGCACAAGTTTAAAATAAAATAAAATAATATTATGAATAAAATTATATTAAATAATATAATTTTATTTTATGTTTGATTTATGAAAGTATTAAGATAAGATAATTTATTTATCAGTTAAAATTATCTATTTTTAAAATTTTTACAATTAACATTTTAAAATATCGATATAATTTTTAAATATATAATAAAATATGTAAATTTAATAATAATTTTTTTTTACTATAAGATAATTTAATCATTTTATATTAAGAGAATAATTAATCTTTCTTTTAATTTATCTTTTTTTTAAAATACAAATCAAACATGCGATAAAATAATTATCATTTTATTTTATTCATCATCTTATATATTAAACATAGTCTTAAATTCTCTTATTATTAGTAGGCAAATATGAAACTATTAAAACTCGGATTGATCTCCAGGAGTTTACATATGTGCAGTGTAGAAAATTGAAGCTCTAGAGTACAATAATGCTGAGAGAAGGTTGGCATAAAGGATTTGGTTGCCCTCCTCCGCTGAAAAGTTTATTCTAGCTCATTATAAAGTTAAATTTCTTTATAATGATATTTAAAAAAAAACAAATATAACAAACAATTAAATATTAACCAAATGAAGCCTTAAGTAGTGAGTAAGGAGCAATAGAAGACAAGTTAATCGTTGAAGGAGTAAATTGTGCTCGTTAATAATGAGATACCAAACCATAAGTTAGAGTGAAGCTCATATCAGACTCAGACGGACGCAGTGGCTTTGGAGGTGAATTATGAATATGGTGATGTTTGTCTTTGGTTCTGAAAGAGAATTATATTCCACGATTAAGGTGGGCTCGATCCGAGTTCATAGGGTCGAATTTAAAAAAAAAAAATTATATTTTGAATTGGGTCGAATTCGAATTTTAAATAAATCCGATTTGAAAATATATAAAAATAATTTTTTAAATTATCTTTTTATTTATATATATTTATATAATTATATATTTAAATATTTATATTTAAAAAATAATATTTTATTAATTTCGAATCAAATCGAATTTAAATATAAAAAAAAATTAAATTTTAAATCAAATTAAAATCAAATTTAACAAATATAAAATTAAATTGAATCCAAAACAAAACAAAAATTCACCTCTGTTGCCAACCCTAGACAACATCATTTTCATAATTACGAAGTGCATCTAAAACTTCTAGAGACGGTTCAACTACTTGCTCATTTCGCAATGCATTTTCTCAAAAAAAGACAAAATTTCACTTTCTCGACCAGATAATAATACCTAAAACAATGACAATGAGTCTTTTAATTCCAAAAAATAGTTCTGGAAGTAGTGTAAATTTTCATGGCTCCGCAAGGTTCCGTATTCCTTCTGAGAACATCATTCAATGATCAAACAAACAAGTTGTCAACAAAGAAATATCAATTTCAGTGTCGTCTACAGTGCATTTTGTTCCGATAATCGACAAATTTTCACTTTCGTTTCTATACGTCTCAAAGAAGATCGAAAAAAAATTTTTCAGTGAATTTTCCAATACGGCAACTAGTAGTTGAGCAAAAACAGATCATTCCAAACCCGAGGACGCCAGGCCATTGTCGCCAATTAAAAATCAAGGCGGCTCATCCTGGGCAAGACATGAACCGCCAACGGTTCCAACCCCGACGGCCTCTGCACTACCCAGAATCTGGGTGGCGCCACCACCACATCGATGACTAGAATCTCACCGTCACCGCAAATAACGCATAGTCTTCCAGCAGCAGCAGCCATTTGGCGTGCCCCTTTAAGCCTCTCCGACTCCATTATCTCCCCCCAATCATCGCTGTCTTGGTTATACCTCGTGAGTACTCCCTTACCCTCGTCCACAGCGTATAATACTTCCTCTTCCATGGCAGCTACGGGTCCTCTCCAGCCAGCCACCATGCCCTCCGGCATGTTTTCCCATATGTCATTCTCTACATCGTAAACAGTCCCTTGTTTAGCCACGTTCACCATACACAGCTTCCGTCTCCAACCAACTGCGTCGATGGCGTCTCTGCTGAATCTCCCGTCTTTCAATTGTCTCATCTTCTTCCATCTGGTGTCATTCATTTCATCGTCCTCCAAGTCCCACCTCTCCAAAGACCTAGCTACGTCCGTGGAGAAGTTGGATCCAATCCCACTAGCCACGTAAATGGTGGGGCCAGATGCCCCTGCTGCACACCAGCGACGCGGAGTGGCCATTGCAGGACCCGACCTCCATGAGCGAGAGAGTGGAGAGAATATGAGGGGGTGAGAGAGGGCTGGATTAAAATTGGGGGCAGTTGCGGCTAAAAGGACAAGATTACCAGAGACTGAAATGGATTGAACAGGGAGGTTGCGGGATATGAAAGCGGGGTGACGCACAAGGAGACGAAGAGGGCCAGGGGGTGGAGGGACCGCTTCCCACTTGGACGACATCGGATCAAAGCTCAACAACTGGATTTCATTACTTGATGATGAGAAGAGAGTGTAGAGAGAGGGGAAAGGAGGAACAATAGGCGAGTAGATTACGCGCCGCCATGACCGGCAAATGGAGTAAAGCAAGGAAGGATGAACACCCGAGAGGCACAGCTCAGCAACGTGATCCGGCAGGCGTGGTATTAGAGGCTGCTCTTGCAGTTCCTGGTGGTTGCGGTGGGCTACCAGCTTTTGACGTTTCCTGGGGTTGGGTGATTTGCCCATTAAGGAAGGTAAAGCCGACAGGAAGGGAAGCTATTTGGAGTCAAGACTGGGGAGCTTTAGATGAGGCTCTTTTCATTGTCCTATGGGAAAGGCTCTTCCTTCTATTAAAAAAAAAAAACAGGATAAAGAGTTGTCATTGGTGGAGAAGTGGGAGATTGTCAGTCTATACTCGTACACCTCAAATAAATCGTAAAAGTTGGGGTTTGGGCTCTTTCTCTCTTTCTTAATTGCCGTGTGTTATTTTGATTTACATGGGTTAAATAGCATTCTTTGTCATTAAATTTTATTTTGCTTTTTAATTTTAAAAGTTTTAATTGAATTTTTAATTATTTAAAATTAATTCTACTATGATATTTTTATTTATAAAATCATTTATATTGATAATAAATATCAATTAACATCATCAAATAGCATCCATTACGTTTCACGTGATAAAAAATAAATTAAAATAAAACTTTTTCAAATTTTAAAAACTAATAATTCATATATATATTATATATATAATTCATGTATATTTTGAATGAAAGATAAGATTAAGAAGCGCATTAATTTGATGCACCGAACAAAACCAAACAGCTTGCTTTTGAAAATAAATGCAATACCTTCACATCTACATCTAAGTTAGTAAATGCTGTGGGGTCGAACTCATTAAAAAGGCCACTGCCCCATTAAATTATATTGCAGTAATAGATAAACAAAATAAATACCAACATTCGTCGTCATGCATGAAATCACAAAAGAGTGTTTTGTCGGTTTATGATAAATAAATACATAAATGTAGGAAGCAAGGAAGTTAGTACTTACTAATGACATTAACTAGAAATTAGCCCCTTTCGCCGGGGTATAGCTTCCTATATTTTTATGTTAAAAATAATAAATAAAATATTAAAAAATAAATAAAATAATAAAAAATAATTTTGAGAATAATACTTTCTTAAAAATTACTATATTTTTAGAATACAATAAAATTTTAAAACTTTGTAAGTAAAAGTTATGAAAATGATTATATTTAAATATTTATTTATAATGAATGAATAAGAATAAATTTTTATTCAAATGGTTATGATTTTTGTAAAATTATAACATTCATGAATAAAAATTTATTTATATTCAAATAATTATAATAATTTGTTATATGATAATTATTATAACATTTAGATTCATGAATCTATCATTATATATAGTTTAAGGAGTCGCCATTAATTTATTTTTTTTTATAGATATGATTGGACACTTAATTGAATCTGTCATATTTTTAAAAATATTCTCAAATTTGATTTAGGTATCTTTAAAAGATAGATTAAATATCTATGAAATTATAATTAAGTATGAAAGTACGATTACATATGAAGAAGATTATAACGCCTATATTAAATGATGATACCAACTTGATGCTATTCATTAAGCTTAAAAAATCTTATCAGATAATTAATTATTGATAATTGTCATTAATTTACTCAAATACTTTTGTCAAAAAATTAAGAGAATTCTCTTATTTCAAAAGTATACAATAAACTACTGTTTATTTAGCAAAGGTTTCATCATTGGATTATTTAAAAGAATTATATTATAAGATTAACTTTTTCTAATAATTCCTTTTTGTTATTTTATTTTAGAAAAAATAATATTTTATTTAAAGAGAAATTGATACTTTCGATATTTTTTTTATCTATTTTTGAAATACTTTTTATTTTAAGAAAATAGATATTTTGACTTTTCCTTAAAACATTTCTTTTTGAAATATATTTTATTTAAAAAAAATTGATATTTCAATTTTTCCTCAAACAATTTTTTTAAATATTTTTTGTTTATAGAAAATTAATACTTCAACTTTTCTTCAAAACTATTTTTTATAATACTCCAATTTTTTCTTAAAGCATTTTTAAATTTTTTTTGTTTAAAAAAATTGATACTTTAATTTTTTTAAATATTTATTTTTAAGATTCTTTATTTTTAAGAAAAATCGATACTTCAATTTTCCTCAAGAAACATTTTTTTTTATTTTTTTAAGGAAATTTGATACTTTAAGTTCTTTTTTTTTACTTTTTAAGAAAATTAATACTTCAACTTTTTCAACAAAAATTTTTTTTTTGAATTTTTTGTTTTTTCAAAACTATTTTTTAAATATTTTTATTATTTTTCATTTAAAATTTGAATACTTTCATTTTCCTTACATTTTTAATTTTTATTTTAAATATTTTAATTATCTTATAAAATATTGGAAAAAAAACTTATACATAAAGAAATAAATACTATTGATTTATGAAAAATGAATAGAAATAAATAAATAAATAAACAAGTAAAATAAGAAAAAAATAAACCTTAGCTTACTTTCGATCGACTTGAACTTGGCATAACTCTAAAAATAGATGAAGGTTGAAGCAGCTTAAAGTACAGTTTGGCTCGATGACTCAGCAATGGCTCAATGAGATAGGCAAACAAGTCGAGGCGTTAAGGTTAGATCAAACCTTGGGGGTGACATACAGATCCTACAATATTTAAAAACCAAAATGCTCTTGTTTCACGCCTATATAAAAGGCAAAAATATTCTTTTTTCCTTTAGATATTCCATTACTTCATCTCCCTCCTCTTATCATTTTTCTTTGTGTCTCTCTCTAAAAAATGAAAAACATCGGTTGAATTTCATCAATTTTTGGATAATAGTCTCCTGAATCAAGATTTTTTCGTCAAAAAATTCAAGTTTCGTTGTGAAATTTCACCATATTTTAAATTTTTCAAAATTTCCTAGAAAAAAATCCCAAAAAAAAATGCTTAATCACCTTTATACTTCATGGGATCCTTCAAAATACCAACTAGAGCCTAAAACAAAAAAAAAAAAAAAACCCAAAAACCTATGCTAGAAAACTAATCTAATCTTAAAAAAATATATATGTTTTTTTGACTACTGTGTTTCATTTTCTATCTTTTTATCCTTTAATTGTGTCTTATGTGATCATTAGTTTATATAAGGATTAAGCTGTAAGGATTATGCCCTATATCAACAGGAAAATTCAAAACTTAAAATCCTCTTTAAAATAAAAAAATCCTATCCTATTCATCCATTTAGTTTGGTTTAAAAGAAAATTCATTTTTATCGTAATTTCAAATTTTAATTACCTTTTATCGCAGTATTTCATTCAAACTAAATCTCTATTTTTATTTATATTTTATTCTTTTTATATTCATCTAATTTTTATCTAAACACAACAATAGGAAACGGATCAAGATCTAAAACCTACCCTAAAAAATGGGTATCTACAATCATAATTATTTTCGTTCAATATAATTATTAAAAGTATGGATAAAATTAAATTTATTTATCAATAATTAAATTTTTTTATCAAACATGGGATACAATCACATTTTAACTATAAAAAAAATCAATACACATGAAATATTATAAAATATTAAAAGTTTAAAAAATTTAAATATAATATAATATTTATTATTATTATTATTATTAAGTTTTTGTATCATATTAAAAGCGTTGTAATTTAATATTAATTTGAATAATTATATGATTTTTTAATTTATCATATATTGTAATATTTTAAAAAATAATAGAACAAACTTTATAATTTTTAATGAAATATTTTTGATATTTTATTTTTATAAATATATTTATTTATTTATTTATTATTATTTTTTAAAATTTAAAAAATGTATTTATTATAGATAATAAATGAAAACTTTTATGTCTTGATATATTTTTTTATTTGACAATCAATTGTGCAGTCCAATCATATTATAGATTGTCCCTACTAGAAGATAGCTTTAATAGTATTTTATATTATTATTATTGATTACGATGACGATTAATTTATTGGTGATTATTGATTATTGTTATTATATATTTTTTATCTTTGTAAAATTTTCACAAAAATATTTAGTTATAAAAAATTAAAGGAAAAAATTAAAAGAAAGAAAATAAAAAAATCTCAATTATGTTTTTTCTTTTTTTCCTTTCATTTTTTGTAACTTATTTTATAAAAAATGCTTATTCTAAAAAATGAGAGGAAAAATTAATAAGAGGAAAAATAAAAAGTGTACACCTTTCCTTTTCTTTTTATTTTATTTTTCTTATATTTTTTAATTTTGTTTTTAAGAAAATATAAAAAAGTTATTACAAAACTAAAAAAATAAATAAAAAAGAAATTGTGAGTAGTTGTCATTCAATTAATTCCACTATATTTTCTATTTTTATTTTTAAGAAAAAAATAAAAGAATCCTAAAATTAAAAAGGTAAATAAAAATTGTATTGACTAATTAAATGATAAATGTCACTCAATTTAGCTCCAATTAATTCCAAAATTAAAAAAGTAGCATTAAATTATCAAAAGACAACTTAAGACTTCTTTTTAATATTAAGAATATAAATTTTAGATTGAGCTTTTGTCATTGCTCATGCCTCTTTCCCACCTCATCCCTATCTTCCTTCAACTCTTCAGTTTCCAAACATCCCGTGACATCCACATTTCCCATTTTTCTTTGCTTCATCTTTCCTTTTTTTTTTTTTTTTTCATTATCCAAATATTACTAGTAACACGTGGTATATGTATATTTAGTAGTAGTACTTTTATATATTTGCATAAATGCGAACAAGTTTAAAAGGAAAAATGATACTAATTTTAATTCTCAATTTCTTAAGATTAAAGAATCGTGACATTTGTTTGCTTAAGTTCCTTATGATATGATTATATTAAAATAATAGCAATAAATTTAACTCAAAATTTTTAAATCTAAAAATTTTGGTTCATGAAACATAAGAAAATCATTTTTTTCATTATGTAGTTTAAGAGCATTGAATTTTTACATGTAAAAACTAATTAGTGAATCAAATTTAATTTAATTAATTCATAGAATTATTTTTAAAAATTGATATCAAATAAATCTAAGATTTCTATCACAAAGCTGTAACATGCTTTATAAAAAATAAATAAACAAATAAACAAGGTAGACCCAACTCCTTATGAAATCAATTACATTACATTTGTACTAAGCATTTTGCAGAAACAAAAGAAATTATCTAAAGGCCCAAGCCGGATTAAGCTCCAAGTTAGAAGAAAGCCCAAAGTCTGGCCTCATTCGGGCCACTCATTTGGACACCTAATCACGTTGTCAGACATCGGCCTAAAAAGAAGCCGTTTAAGAAACAATAAACAAAAGTCCGGGGTACGAAAAAGCCGAAAGACGAAGAGAGGAAAGAGATGACGCGAGGAAAGCAGAAGATCGAAGCGCAGAGGCGAAATGCGGAGAAGAATCAAAAGCCAAAGGGTTCTCAGCTGGAAGCGAGAGCTGTTGCCCTCAAAGCCAGCTGCCCCATCTGCAAGGTTTTTTTTTTTTTTAATTAAAATTAAATGGTCATTTCAATTCAATTTTATTCGACTCCGCATATCGGCCTTTGATATTGATGGTGATTTTATTTTGTTTTCGCATTTTGAAACGTCGTCTAATAGTAGTATGACTTATAGTATCCCGCCTGAAACTAATTAATTAATAAGTATAGACTATAGATGGACGGGGGCAACAAACTGACCCACTTTCTTTCTTCTTCCCCTTGTATTGTAGAAATTGATTGATCATTGATGGATGGCATGCATTTCAAATAGAAATCATAAAAAAAAAAAATGATTTTTTTCTTTCTTGCTTGGACTCAGCTTCACCCAAGTGCTTCAACTATTGCCTACTTATATTAATAACTATAATAATACTAGTTATTACCAATAAATGTTGGTCTTCACTAGTATTTTACTGCTATCAGTTTGACTTGCTACACCACCTCTGTTGCATGTGAGCTAATACTATAGCTAACACTTTTGCCTTGCACTACAATCGGCCTCATATTCATCTTCATATTCTCTGACTCCAAGGGTAGGCTTGGTGACATTATTTAAGGATCCTGTTTCCTTGTTTCGGTTAGAAAGGGACTTTTTTTTAAAGATTCTTGAGGATTTATACAGCTGATTCAAAAGATGCCTAGGAAAGTGATATCTCCATTCTTTTGACTTCCCAGAACTCCCTTTTGTAGTTTTATCCATATATGCATGCTATTCAAAAGGATGCTGCGAGCATATCTCAGTTAACACTAACTGTATTTCTTAATAGAGTCCGTAGACCAGAAGACCTTATGGTTAGGTGGAGATTTGCAAGTAGTTTATTATTTTTTTCCACTTTTAGATTTATATTTTGAATATGCGCTTTTTCTTTTCTGTTACTATTTTTTTTGGTTTTGTGACGTAAATGATGTTGCGGTGGGTGCCTGTTTTATTTAAGTTTCTCTTGAATTTAAAGGTTAGCACTTAGTATGGTGGAAGCTATGGGAAGGGGGTGATTTCATGGTGGTTCATTGGCAGTAGAATGAAATCGGAATTTGATAGTTTCTAGTTCTTTAAAATGACATCAGTTTTTAGAAGCACATATTGAAAAATTCCAATATGAAGAAAAAGAATAGTTAACAAAACCTAGATTTTTGAAAATCTTAATTACTGTATTTTGAATGCTTCTTGTTAAAATTTGATAAAATTATCAAATGGTTCATCCAAACACACCGTGAGATAATTAAGGAAAGGCCACGTACCTCCAAAAACATAAGCAGTTAAAATATTATAATTAATATGATTAGAGCACCTTGTTCATTAAGAAGCCAATTAACTTATGTACATGCATTCACCAGTTCTGCTCCAGGGTGGATGGATTGATTATATTTAGAAGGAACAGGCTCTTTCACATAAGTAGGAACTTTTTGTACATTTAACCAACAGAAATTTTCACTTTTTGATTCGATTACCTTCCTCTACAAATGTGGAAGGATATAAAGAAAACTAAGAATGATAAGTTGAGGTTTTTTTTTTTCTTTTATAGAGCATGAGCTGCGGAAAACTTGATAAACTTCCCTACGCTTTTGTTATTATATTTTTGTTATTAAATAGATATAACAGGAGTAAGACTAAGAAGAAGGGGTGATCTGTCAGAATTAAAAGGGTAAGCAATTTTGTGGACACTATTGTTGCTGCCTTTCTCTTTGAACCTATTTTGCCTCTCTGATGAAATCTGGCAGAATATGTGGAAGAAAATAGTACATATAACAGGTTGTGGAAGTCCCTGAATTGTGATAATTGATGCGACATTGATAGTTGTATGTTGCTGGTTGCTATGCGTAGACAGTTTGAATTGCATTGTAAAACATGTGGCTGTAGGTCAACTTGGCTTTATCTTACATTCAAACTGCAGTGCAACCTACTTGCAAGCCATACCTTTTTATATATAACTGATTTTATTGTGATTATGGAGTCCAAGGGTACCAACTGTTTGGCTTTTGAATGGAGTTTTCATTTGCTGTTTTATGTGATTGCATATTGCATGCTTCTGTAATTTTGCATTTATCTTATACATCATATACTTGGACTCGGAACATATCACTTTTGCCACCCCACCCCCCACCCCCAAAAAAAAAAAAGAAAAAAGAAAAAGGAGGCCTGGAATGATTGTTTGCTGTAGGATGATAAGTTGCCTTTATTTTCCCTTTCTTCAACATTTTAAACTTGCATTCTCTCCTTGTGCCTGCTTGTTGTTTGAAGGGTTTGGTTTGTGTTGTTGGGGTGGCAATTAGAATCCATGACATATTTTAGATCCTCTCTCTCACCTCCTTTCCCGTAACAGGCTAAAGTGAAGCTTACTTGTTGTTGTAGGTGCAATTAGCGAATGAAAAGCAACTTGGTGATCATTATGCCTCCAAGCATCCAAAGGAAAACCCTCCTGCTGAATCAAGTTGATTGCTTTCCCATGTAAAAATGCAAAAAGGAAAAGAAAACAAAAGAGCTTTTCCTGTGTGATTTCTAAATATTGTATGTTAACTGTGTCTTATTTTAAACCAACGAAAATGGCTCTTATGGTCTATTTGCCTTTCACTTTCAGTATTGTATAGAATTGTATGACAATAGAATGATAACAAAGCAGTTGCCTGGGTATAATATTTTACGAATTCATAATGGCGTATAGATATACTGAACTTAAGTATATATGATGCTTGAGAAAATTTTGTAGAAAAAATTCGATTTGAAAAAAATGTTAAAATTCCTTGTGCCATAGTGTTGATCAGCTAATCATATGTATTAAAAACCCATAACACAGTAGCTAATCCAGCAAAGAAGCAATTATATTTATGACTTATGTTACTTCCTGGTATGAAGCCCTGCCTGTTCAGCTATATATAGCCTTGGATGCTCACTACTTTCACTCTAGTCACGATAGATTTCTTCCAGTCTCTAGTTGTTAGTGCACCATCCATCCACTGTTATTGGGGATTATTAATCTGGGCTTAAAAAGTTAAGCAGCTCTCCTCCCCCGTAACCATGCGGCCATTATGGAACAACTCCTGTTAATTCAGAACACAGTACAAGACAAGGAAGGAAACAGAAAGAAAATATATAATATTCCTCTCTTATTAAAAATTGAGGTGAGGACCGAGGAGAAAAGTGTTTTCTAGGACTTCCTCTGAAGACTTAAACCATTAGAGTCATGAACTTGTACATTCTTCACACTAATAAATAGATTCTGTATTAATTCTATCTAGCCATCTCATGTGCTTGCTTCATTGATTATGTGATTATGGTAAGATGGTTGAAAAAATCTCTATTCAATTGGTTATGGTTTGGGCCTCTTATCGATTCAAATACAAAGATGACTTAGCTATAAGACTTGGGAGTGACATATTTTTGTGCAAGAACAAAGGGCTTGGTTGGTGTTGTTGGGGTGGCATTTGAATTGCTAGATGGACAATTCTATTAATAGACTCAACCAAAAGTCATGCAGCCACCGTAGGCAGGACTGCATACCATGACAAGTTGACGTCTCGTCTCGTCTAGGGTAGGAGACATCTAAACCAAAGAGGGTAAGGGATTTTACTTACTGCCGATGGTATTTAGGGACAATGAATTCCTTTAAATAATATATATTTTGTATATCGAGAACCCCTGGCTTTCTTCATTGTCCTTTTATCTCTAACGGGTGCGCTGGCGGATCTACATATTTTTAGTTTTTGTTTGTGCATACAAAAAATTCCTATTTTATTTCAAATACTGTATATGTACCTCGCTTTACTCTCTTCTCACTTCTCGGTTTCAGTTCACATTTGACAGTGAATCGGTTCTAGAAAGAAGGAAGCGTCGGTTGGCACGTACAGAAGGTCACTGTCGCACGTGAGAAATCACCTCCGCCTTATTGGCTCACCTCAACTAGACCCTTTAATTCGGAGCATCTAATTCTCGCACACTCTTTCCCTTTCCACAACTAAAACTCTCTTCACAATCACATATATACTCAAATATAACAAAAAAAAAAAAAATCAATCTCCCACTCATTACTCATCCAAGAAGAAGAAGAAGAAGAAGAAGAAGAAGCACTGAATCATTTTTATTTCTCCTTTTTTTTGTTCTTTTTCTCTTTACAGCCCATTGCCTGCAGATCGAGTCAATCTCAAAGGTTTCTTCAATTTCTCCTTTTTCTTTTCCAAAATTTGCATCTGTTTGTGTTTAAGTTCCAGATTGGTTAGTATTTGCGTTCTATGCTCGAATCTTTACTTCGTTTTTAGCTCGATTTCTTTTACCATGCTTGGATATAAATTGCTTAAGCAGATTCTAGGAATCTCGTTTTCGTTTTTATGTCCTTGATTTCGACTACCCTTGTTTCATGCGTTCCTTTTCTTTCTTCTTCTTCTTCTCCCCCCCCCCCTTTTTTTCCGGTTTATGTTACGAAATTTCTGTCAATTTATCAATGTAATTGTATTCTTCTTTCAGCTCTAAAAGACAATGCAGTAATCAATTAGTTCAAATTTCTGAGGCAGTTAGTTTAGTTTTTAGTTTCAAATTCAGAGAAACTGAATGTGGCTGAGTTATATGGGTTGGAGAAGTTGATTTTAGTATAATCACGTATTATATTTTATTTTTTTCGTCTAAAATATTTTTATTTAGTATGTGTAGCTTTAAATTTGACAGAAATGTCTCAAAATGATTGGAGACTTGGAAATGAATTGCTTGTAAAAGCAAGTGATAATGTCTTCCGATTTTAGATAAGGAATACAAATGCAACAAAAACCTTTGATGATGAAAATATTGTTTATCAGATGGGTTCAGTTTCCTTAAAATGGCAATGAAGTCTAATTATGCTAGTTGTTTTAAATATCTGCTGCTATCTGCTGTTTGTTTCTTAGTTGTATATCTGCTGTTTTTTCTTCATTCACTGAATTAATGTCGCACGATGTATGGTACTAGAGTAAGCAGCTCTCTTAGACTAGCATGTCCATCACAGATATCAAAGCCACATTTCAAGATGAATTATTTATTTATTTTTCTGAATTCATGATATAGCAATTACTTGACCTGCGTTCATGTGTAAGACTTTGGTGCTCTATGTTGTCCTTTCGTTCTACATGAGTGGCTGCTTTGACTTTCTCTGTTCTTTAAACAAAAAAATAACATATATATATATATATATTTTTTTTTTCTCTGAGAGGGTTCTTTCTTGGTTTTCATTTATGCATTTCTCTGCACAAATTGGAAGGGTCTTGGTAGCAATTTGCATTGGATTCAAGAACATTGATCTGCTCAATATTTATGTTTCAGCTTTCCTATTATTTTTAATTCTTATCTTGCTTCTCCATTTCCTGCCTAACTTTTCTTTCTTTTGTAGCTGCCAAATGGCAATGTAGTCCAGATAACCATATGTTACAACAAGGAGGGATTTTTGGGCTTGGTGTATCAGATGATTTGTAGTATCTATATTATGCTTGCTCAGTGCCATTATGGGCATCTGTCTAATGAAATGTCAATGGCGATGGCTGCTTCATGTTCTATTCTTTTTTATCCTAATAAACAGAATCAGAGCTATCAGTCCTGATGGTAGGTGATATGTATGTCATATCAGATAATTCAAGCCGATGTTTAAAAGTTTCTTTTTCTCCTCTTATTCTCTCACCATTTGGAAAAGGATCCACAAATTCCTTCCTCATGTTCATACTCATTTGGTTGGTATATACTGGTTAATTTGTCTCATTTAGGAAATTTTCAATATTTTCCATACTGAAAATTTCCTCCTTTTAAAACTTTGGTGATCATGTTTACATTTTGCCCTTCTCTTTCCTTTCCTTTCCTTTCCTTTTCTGACACTGTCTTTAGATTGTAGTTTAGATATTAACAGATTTTGGCCGGTTATAACATCTCTAGCTAGCGAGTCATTAGGTACATTTCTCACAGGAAATAAGAATATCTGGTTATAGAATGTGAAAATGCTTTTACTGATATGCAGGAGAGGCACTTCTAAATTTCCGAATAGCAATTGTTAGTTCAGATGGTGCGCTTTCCCAATGGAGACCAGAGGATCCTGATCCATGCAAATGGAAAGGGGTGAGATGTGATGGTAAAACCAAGAGAGTGACAACTTTGTGAGTTTTAAAGATCATGTCCAAATATGTCTTCCCTTTGACAACCTTGTATGCATGAAAGTGCCTTTTAACATTATTTCTTTTTCCTATGTTTTCTCTTCAGGAGCCTTACCAATCATAAACTGAGTGGTCCTATATCCCCTGACCTTGGGAAGCTGGAGCACTTGAGGCTTTTGTATGTATTAGTGGGATTTATTTTTCTTCATGGTTGATGTGTGATCTGTATTCAAATATATTTTGTTGCAGCTGACATTTCCTGTAATTTTTATGTGAATCAGAATGCTTTATAACAACAACTTTTATGGGGCAATTCCTTCGGAGCTGGGTAATTGCACAGAGCTGCAGGGACTGTAAGTATCGATGCTGACATGTTGGTTCAGTGATCTAATGCTTCTCCTTGCTTGAAAAGTGTTGTTGGCTATTCTATAGGTTTCTCTTGCAAATGGTAGGGTTAAAGGGTATGATATTAAAAAATGTAAAATTTTTCATTCACTTTGAGGTTCATGATTTGGCTGTGGTGCTGACACAAAACAAGGATTATGAACCATAGATGGATTTCAAAGGGATTTAACTAGGATTACTGTTCTCATACACTGAGAATAGCCAATTGTTCTCTTTGTGCCACATGTCAAAAATGGGTCTAGCTTTGTTCCTATTGTTCTTATACGTGTAGGATATATATGCACTGGTGTTATATAAATTGATGAAATGGAGAGAAATCAGCTTGTTTAATTTCATAACTATCAATCTGTATAGTATCCTTTTTAGTACATTTGGGCAAGGCCAAGGGAGAAAGTGAACCTTGGACCTTCACCCCTCATTGGATGGGTACAACCACTAGGCCAACCAGCAGGCCAAGTGATATATATTGGGAGGCTGAGCTGGGCTAGGTGAGTAATCTCCTTTTTCGGACCTTTTCCTGATGTTTTGTCCAACTTTGATGTTCTTGATATACAGAGCTAAATCAAAAACAGAAAAACAACCTTTTCATTGCTTTTAATTGCTTATTTTGTGGTATTATTTCTAGTATTTCCTTTAGCATAAGCAAAGTGGATCAATATTTCTTACTTGTTCCTTAAAACTCATGAGGGTTCTATTTGGTTTTGGCTAAATATTGCTTGGATGTAGTTGATATAAGGTTTTTGTATTTATTTTCTGAAGAAATGGCATCAAAATTACCTGTATTCATTATTTTATTATACTGTAACCTGTTCTCTTCTACAGATACTTGCAGGGTAATTACCTGAGCGGATTAATTCCAAGTGAACTGGGGAACCTATCTTCACTTCAGAATCTGTAAGTTGTTTCTCTTTCTAAAAAATATGAGCTAGAGTGGTAAAGAGACTAAGCGTTTGGATTTCTTAATGATTCTTGCACTGTTTTTTTTTTTTTTTAAATTTGCAGGGATATCTCAAGCAACTCTCTCAGTGGATCTATCCCTGCTTCAATTGGGAAGCTAGATAAGCTTATTACATTGTTAGTTTCCTTGCTTCAAATTTCTTAGTTTTTAAATGGAGGTGTTCTACTGAGTTGGTACTTTAAGAATTTGTTGAATATAAACTCATCTTTGATGATCTTATTAAATTTCTGGAAGCAATGTGTCAAACAATTTTCTGGTTGGGCCAATACCATCACAAGGTGCCTTCAGCAACTGTACTGCAAGCTCGTAAGTACAAGCTAGTTTGCTATACTGTGTTCGATAGATCTTTTGTTATTTATATGCTATGTCATCTAAAGTATAATTCAGGAGGGTTCCAGGAACTGTTACTCTTATACTTGATGACTTAATTTTGCACTTTTAGGATCTTCATCTTCTGGGCCACTTTAGCTTGAAAGGTCAAAGAAGATTGCTATACTATTATTATACTAAATTAACAGTTTAACACTCTTCTTGGTAGTTTTGTTGGAAATCGTGATTTATGTGGAAAGCAAATCAATGTTGCATGCAAAGATGACAGTAGAGGAGCTGTAACAAATTCCCAACCACCTACCTCAGGTGAGCTGCATAAGTCGGAAATGTGTAACTCTGGCTGTTTGGTGCTCATTTCATATGTTAATTATCGATATAAAGATTTAAAATTTTGTTCACAATCTGAATTCCTGACAAGTTTGTTGCTTTATTCTTGGATCTATTATTTTTCTTTTTGGAGGCAGCTCACTTTGGTTAGTATTTCAATATTTTTTAGCTCAAAATCAAGGTAGTAAAAAGAAATACTCTGGAAGGCTTCTCATTAGTGCATCAGCAACCGTGGGTGCACTACTTTTGGTGGCACTTATGTGTTTTTGGGGTTGCTTCCTATATAAGAAGTTTGGTAAAAATGAAGGCAGAACTCTTGCCGTGGATGTCAGTGGAGGTGTTCTTCCCAACTGATCTTTAATTTTTGGAAAATTTAACTGTTTACCATTTTTTCATATTTACTCTCTAAGATGGAAAATTTAATGTCTTTGTTAATGTGGTATTGTTGCTTCAGGGGCATCAATTGTTATGTTTCATGGAGACTTGCCATACTCCTCAAAAGACATCATTAAAAAATTGGAAAATTTGAATGAGGAACACATTATAGGTACTGGGGGCTTTGGGACTGTATACAGGCTCGCAATGGATGATGGAAATGTGTTTGCTTTGAAACGAATTGTGAAGATGAATGAGGGATTTGATCGTTTTTTTGAAAGAGAGCTTGAAATTCTTGGAAGCATAAAACACCGATACCTTGTAAACTTGCGAGGATATTGTAATTCACCTACATCAAAGCTGTTAATCTATGATTTCCTGGCTGGTGGTAGCCTTGATGAAGCTCTTCATGGTGAGGCTCTCTTAACCATTTTCATTCAGAAGCACTGGTGGCATGGCATAAACTTGAACTACATGTTTTTCTTTGTTCTGTACCTTAAGATTTCAGAAAATTGAAAGATATAGTATTTTTAGTGGATTGACTAAGCTTGAACTTGAACATTTCTCCTTCTTTGTTTTACCAATGGTTCGGATTTCCTTCATGATTTTGGGTCCATTTCAATTCTATTGATTTGTTGAATGTATTGATTTCTTTATTCGGGGATGATGTTTTATGATTCTTTTAACAGAACGATCTGAGCAGTTAGACTGGGAAGCACGATTGAACATTATCTTGGGAGCAGCAAAAGGACTGGCCTATTTACACCATGATTGTTCTCCAAGGATCATACACCGCGACATAAAGTCCAGCAACATTTTACTCGATAGCAACTTGGAGGCTCGAGTATCAGACTTTGGACTTGCCAAACTGTTAGAGGATGAAGAATCGCATATTACAACCATTGTTGCAGGAACTTTTGGTTATTTGGCTCCAGGTATGCAGTTTGAATATTCTCTTACTGTCTACAATTGGGGAGCCTGTGGCTCTCTTTAAGCTTAAATTATGAAGGAGGTGAAGTTAGCTTTTCTGAAAGTAGATTGGGAGATTATTTCTTATGATGTTGACTTAATTTGACAATCATATCTGCCAGTTAAACATCTAATATGCCTGTGGTAATTCTGCACAAGAATTAAAAGGTGGCATCAGAGAAAGGTAAAGAGAAAGAGGAAAAAAAACTGGGAATTAGTGCTAAGCGCATTGGTCTGAACTGAAGTTGATCTCTTTTAATTTGAGATGCTTTGACAATAGTACTGCTGCTATTATTTGGCATAAGACAAGTGAGAATATGAGAGTTGATCTCAGCCGAAAAATCCATTTTTTATGTCTCTTTTAATGGATTATTTGAAGCATGACAACCATGTCCCACCCTGCTTTTTTATTTTTATTTTATTTGGCCCCTACAGATTAATAGAAGTCAAAATTTAGCCAAACATTTATGTAAATCTCTTTCAGCTAGGTACTCAATTAACCTTTTCAGATTTAGATTGGGATTTGTGTATGCCCTTTATCATTTGTTTGATAAGTTAAGAAATGATCATCATGTACATCCAACATTGTTGCCTGTTGGACCAAAAATGTTCTCTTGAAGTATTTAAAACTGTATATTTTCTCATGAACTTAATTGTTTTCTACATGAATTTTACCATTTTTATTACAACTTTTCTGATTTCTTGTAGACATAAAAATAAATGCTTCCAAACAAGCTTTATGCTCCATGACTTTGAGGCTCACGCCTCACATCACATTACTTAAACAAATTTGTCTTTAGAAACACTGCATTTAATCGGGATCCCCTAGTGTATGACGTTGTCTAATCTGTGTGTTAAGAAAATAAAAACTGCAGGAAGGATTCCAGGCATACTAATTTGGTCAAATATTTATTTATGCATTTATTTTTTGCAAAGATGCAGTTAGAATCTTGTTTAAGTGGTTGAGTTATTGTTATGTAATGTAAGCTTTTTAGATTCAATTTATCTTGAGTCTGTTTATGCTTCCTTCAACAGAGTATATGGTAAGTGGGAGAGCAACTGAAAAGACAGATGTCTATAGTTTTGGGGTCTTGGTGCTTGAAGTCTTAAGTGGAAAGAGACCTACTGATGCATCATTCATTGAAAAGGGCCTCAACATCATTGGCTGGGTATGTCTCCACTTCTTTTGAAATTTTTATGTAGAATCTTTATAAACAACACACTTAGACTAGATAGAGGCTGATTTAGGACTTAAAGTTTAGGTTCAAATGATAACAATAGGAAGAATAAGACTTGAAAACTTTGTTGATATGCAAACATAAAAAATCAGAAAATTAGGATGGGGAAAACAAAGGGAATTTAGGTGAACTATGAAAACTGAAATCAAGGAAGACAAATAACTTCAGAAAACACACTTAGAATTAGCGAATCACTCCCTAGGACTGCATCACACATTCAGCACTCAAACTTAATTAATTTCTTTCCACATAATACTACCGAACTAAAAAATCTCCCAAATATATAGGCAGTCAAGGTTTAGACAGCCTGCTGTTGTCATGATTAAATGACAACAATAGGTAATGGATTAGGGATCCCTGCTATAGACAAGATTATTTGACAGCCAGCATCTTCAAAATGTCCTAGTATGATGGATAGGCCCTTTATTAAGTGGCATTAAGCATCCTAAAGGGTGTTTACTTAGGTGACGGCAAGTGAATGCCAACTAGCTAAGCAAGTTCAGCTTTAGAATCTTGCCATATTATAATATTTGCATTGCTGTCTTTGCCCCTCCTCAGATAGACTTTAGTAGGTTTCCATCTTGCATCATTTTGTCTGTAGGATTAATATCTCCCTACATTAAAGAATTTCTGATTAAGCCGTTAATCACATGCTTGAGAAGTTCAAAACATTTGGTGGCGAACTAGCACTGAATATGCTGTGTGCTTAGTCTCTGTTATGTGGTTCATTAATGTTCTGCTGTAGATTTCATGTGCTGTACATTTGTGGTGCTGTTTACTTCACGTTCCATTTACCGAGGATTGGTCTGGGAAGATGTCATGGTTTTATGGAATGTATGTTTTAAGATGCTACTGGCCAGGCAAAATATTTTTCTTTTGCCTTTGCTTTCTGAAAAACACTACTTTTTTTCCGGATTTTGTTGCAGAGGTAAAGCAGTTTAAAAGAAACAGAAATTTTAGGGGAGTGGGTATGAAAAGAGAAAAACATATTTGTTTCATGCTTGTTTTTTCTTTTTTCCTATTCTTTTTTTGAAGAATGTTGAACATCTGTAAGGAGAAACGTTAAAGGGTATGAGGTAACAAAATTTTTGTCTTCAAAGTAAATTTGTCTCCCTCTAAGCAGATGTCTCTGGAAAGAAAAAAATCAGAACTATGTGTGTGAACAGATATTTTTCTGTCCAAGTAAGATTGAAATTGATGCTTGCTGTGTTACTAATTTCCATTTTCAATGATACAAATGGCACTGCACTCAGAGCAATTGGCTCATTAATAGATGCATATATCTCCCAACTCAGAAGAGTTGCGTTTGAATCCCCCTTCCCCCCAACTCAACAAGATATAAATGACATATCCCGTGCAGATGGTTTCCTCAATTAAGAATACATGTGTGTGTGTTCATCTGACTGGTCTGTTCTCTTTTATGCAGTTAAACTTCTTAATTACAGAGAATAGGCAACGAGAGATTGTAGATCCAAATTGTGAGGGGATGCAGGCAGAAAGCCTTGATGCCTTGCTTTCAGTTGCCATCCAGTGTGTTTCTTCAAGCCCAGAGGATCGACCCACCATGCACAGGGTGGTCCAGTTGCTTGAATCTGAGGTTATGACCCCATGCCCAAGTGATTTTTATGATTTCAACTCCGATTGAATAGTTGAAGCTGAAGACAAAGACTTGTTTGGTTCACATCCATGTTGCTCTCCTGTTATCTCTCACAATTTATTAGAGTAATGAACGCACAAAATGTCGGCCATGTAATCTGCAACAGCTTCACTTCTTCATTTGATTAATTCTTTATGCAGAGGGGAGTTGGAAGGTGTGGTCAATGGTCTACACCCATTTGAACCTGAATCAGAGCTGTTGAATAGAACTGGATTTAGGGCGCATATTCGTCCTTCCAATGCCCTGCCCGCATTTGGCGTACGGGTGCTGCGTGCATTCTTTCTTTCTCCACGTAAATGGAAACTCCTTCAGTGGTATCGAGTCTCGTCTTTGTTTTTACGTTATGCATTTCTTCCAAGTGTATATGATGGTTGTATAAATTGGGAATATTGTTGTTTATGCCATTTTTATAAAATTTTGCTTCCATTACCGTGATGAGTTTCATGGTTGAAATTGAAAGCTGATTTTATCCCGCTACTTGATTATACTGGATGCATTCAGAAATTAGGAGAAGCTTTAAAAAGGCCATGTAGGGCTTAAGAAAGAAAATATGTGAGTTCGAATTCCACATATTTCGAGTGAAAAGGCAACAATTGCCTACTTGAAATAATAGGAAGATCAAATTCAAACCTTGATTTGTCAACTGTCTTTATCTCTTTCTTGTTACTTGGGAAGTTTATTTAAAATTGACTAACGTCAAGTATCTGAATTAAATTACCAGCTTTATCAAAATTTAATTGACGTAGCGGGTAACAATACATGAAGTAGAGTAGGCTGCGCAGCTCTGAATTTCCACGTACGTGTCATGAAGAAGATATACTTTTTTTTTATATAAAAGAAATAGACTAATCCAGTCCTCAGAGGCTTCCTGAGCTGGAAACAAGCCTATGAGCATTCATTTTCAGTAGTTAGAGAAAAGAAAGTGATTCTTGAAAAACTGAATCGTAGCGTGGGTTTGATTATTTACCATACAATAGCACACACAAAAAAAAAAAAAAATAGTACAGATTACCAGAATATTACAAAGGGCACTATATCTATGTTCAGAGGAGTTGGGGGCGGGCATTTACAATTTTATTATTACTACTAAATTTTTTTACCACTCTCCAACTCCAACTGGTTAGCTTATCGGGCTGCCGGCCGAGTTTGGTTCAATTATCTTGCTTGCTGGTGCTCTCTCTTGTCTTTCTACATAAGCAGAGGGAAACCATCCAGCCTTGCCCTTGCTTTCTCCTTCCGACCATCCAATAGGACCCACCTTGTGATATTTCACATTACAACAAAAAATGATTCTCACGAGCTAAAATCCAACCAACATTAACCATTTAACCTAGCAATAGCATTGCAGTCGAAATACTACCTGGCGAACCACAACATAATCACCAACTTCTAAGCTCAACTCCCCATCTGCTTCAGCATCAAATGGGTGTACAACCTGTTAAACAAACAATACCTCTATCATGTCCACAATTGTAAATTCGAAACGCTTAAATAGAGTCCAAGAGAGATATCTTCTTTTTCTAACAGACACAAGATAAAGGGCAAATAAAAGAGTCAAACAAGCCTGTAAGAGGGAAGTTATAGAAAGGTCAAAATCTGAAACATTGCTCTAGGTGGCAAACTAAAGTTCCAATCTAGGAATATGAGGAAGTTCAAGTATCCTAAAATGTACAGGTTTTCATAGCTCCTGATCAGCTGACCTTCTAACTGGATGTTTTACACCAGAGGAAAATTTCCATGTAATTCTACATTTGAGAGAGCATCATGGGACTAGGAATCACATTTCTCAGAAACCATAGCTAACTTCAGTCTTAAATTCACTTTTTTTCTTCATTACACACAGATCAATACTCTCTCCAGGCAGTTTCAGTAAAATTTATCACCTATCAATCTACATTTGTTTAAAAAGTTTCTTGAACTTTCTAGCAAAAGTAAGGTGGGGACTGCTTGATATGATTATTACCAGCCATAGAATATAAGAGTAAACTGATTTTTCTATATTTACCTTATTCAGAGAATATATTTTCAAATTTAATTTATTTACAGAGGCAATCAAATTTTACAGTGAACAAAGAGCAAATACGAAAAAGGCCTGTAGTACTAATTGAGATCATTGTCATATATATATATATACTCTTGAGTGAAAGATCAGCTAACATGCAAAAGCCAACTTCGAAGGGGTCTTCTTTGTTTCCTTTTATTTTTCAATTTCCCAGAAGTGAGAGGACTACATTTCCCAAAGAGTTCAAAAGCCTTACCTTTGCTATGAAATATACATCGCTTTGATTGTTTGCCTGAGCTTCAGATCTATTTGAACTACTTTTATCATGTGCAAGGGCAACATTCACCTCTCTCTGCAATGTCACTGAGTTCAATGACTTGTTCATCTGCTCCTCTAGAATCATCTATCCAACAGTAAACTTTGATCATAACCTTATAGATATATGAAAGAAATAAGACAAAAATAAAAGCAGTTTGGCACCCATAAAATCCCATGTACTTGATGGTGTGATGCCTATATAGATGCCTCTAGGCTATAGATGTCATGAGAACAATTACAGAGCCAAGGGTGAATAAGTACAAACCTCTTCATATAGCTTCTCTAAAATAGCAAGAATACATCGATGATAAGATTTTTCAGCATCAACCTGCAAAACGATTCTGGTGAGGTCCAAGGATCTGAGCATTACAAGTACGGGTAATGAGCATTGAAATCTGAACCTAATCAAGAATAAGTTGAGTACATCAGTTATCTCAAAAATAAGTCTTAAACATCAGATTGACACTACCAATGCTCCTGTCGCCAAGTTAAAGGTGCAGAATAGTTATTTTCTATATTTCCTGCACCCTGGGATAAGTATGTCCATTCATATAGTTAAGACTACTCTAGTTCTGGGAGTTAGATTTTTATCCTCTTAGTCCAAGTTGTTTATTACTTGCTTAAGAGTTAGTTTCCTATTAGGAATCTCAGCCAGTAGACTTAAAGTGAGTTTTTCACCTGGATCCACTATAGTCTCATCTTCCTCTGACTAGGACTCTTTTGGTTTGAACTACAAGTCAAAGAAAGCAGCTAAATAATTTGCTAAACTAGACTTAGGACTAGCAATGTACATTTAAATGGAATCATCAAAGAATGAGCATTATTTTTGCATAAATAAAGTAGCAAAACTTCATTCAGTTGAAGTTATCAATCTTATGTAGCCATAACCATAGTGCTATTGAGAACCAGAAAAGAAGTTTTGTTTTGTGAACCAAAGAAAAGCAGCTTATTACAAGCATTGCATAAAAATATTAAATTAAAATTTGCAATACCATTGCAAGAAGCCGCTGGAAAGTAATCTTTTGCTGCTGATCCTCGACCGACAACATGGCAGCAGTTGCTTCTCTTCCTAGTACCATCATTGAGGATTTAAGTTCAGTCAATCTTGCTTCTGCTTGTTTAAGCTTCGTGTAGCTTTCTGCAGATATATCGGATTCCCTCGTCTTTGATCTACGCCTCAATACATCTGTTGCCTGTTTGTGAAAAAAAAGGCTGAGAATAAATATACATATATAAACAGAACTAAGAATAAAATGGAAAACTATAAAGAGATATGATAAAATTTTGAAAGGTTATAAACTTAGAGTCAATAAATCATTTAACTCATTCCACATACCATGCGTTTAAAACATCATGCTTTATATGTTGCTTGTAATTAGTTTTCTCTCTTTTTTTTTTGGGGGGGGGGGGGGTGATAAGGAGGAAGCATAAGCATAATTTTGGTTGTTAGCATGTTTAAAAAAAGCACTTGGAACATCCTGTCAGTGAGCACATAAAAGTTTTTTGATTTAACTAAATAAACTTTTCATGAATTTGCTGGGCCACACAATGACAAGAGTTCAGGAAATTACAGTTAGACTGCAGTCAGCAAAGTCCATGCCAAATTTCTGATATTTGACCTTTTCTAGTCAATGGTCTAATCAACCAGAACTCCCACAGGGTTAGATTTCAACAGTCGAAATTGGTCTACTCCAAGTTTTAAAAAATTGAAATACCTGAGCTTCAACCTCTTGGCGGAGTCTGTCATAACGGTGAGTCAAGTGCCGAGCATCCTCCAAAGGAGCTCCCATAATTAATGCCCGTAGTGGCTCAGAAACCTACATATTTGAAACCTGTAACACAATTAGAAACAAAAAAAAAAGGACAAACCTCAACGCTCAGAGATAACAGAAGTTATCTTAAATTTCCAACAATATTTCATGGCAACACTGATGTTCTTTCATTTGTATTTATCTCATGCCAGTGGGGAAAGAAAAAAGATCACATCGTATGTTAAGTCCATCAAACCACAGTCCTTATGATGGCCACTCATTGATTTGGATAGGGAATGTAAAATGATTTGCTTAGGTATACACACAATGTTGCAACAAAGATGACCACAGCACATAGGAACCAAACAGACATTACCATTATCAGAACTGACTAAGAGCCTAAGGAAGTGTATTTCAGGTGCAATTAACCTATAAATGAAGTCCCGAGTATCCATAAAGAGGAAAGACGATGTAACATGTATATTAGATGTTTCATGTGCATTCTCTTAGTTCCTAGAGCCTAGAAGCATATAATACACATAATTGATGTTTTTTATGTCACTTTAATTATCCTTCAAAAACTAGAACTCTAGAAGTAGCCAGTTACCTTTGGACTATTAACAAACAAGAAGACTTCCAAGGTTGATACATTCATAATGGAGCAATTCCTTAAAGGTTAATTGAAGAGATTTGAAAATACCATGATCATAATGTCTTTATAATTTTCTTTAAAAGAAATTACACTTGACCAACTATCCTTTAATATGTTTGGTCTTACCATATGTCCCAGAGAAAATTACTGGCACAAGCATAAATGTTCCAAGTTAGTTGTGAACATATCTTATCATTATTTCAGCATAATAATATTAATATTTAAGTAGATTTCAATAATCTTTCACAATTTTGTATAATTTTCTCTCCACAAGAAGCCCCTAAGAACAATTAGTATATTAATAAAGTTAAGAAATTACCTGTTCACCCAGGATCCCAAGCAAGGTCTCCCTTTCATCTTCCATTGATTTATGCGACTTACCAAAGTGAAAGGCAGCTCTTGCAAGAGAAGAACCGCTATTTTGATTTTCAGCTCCATATTTGCAACAATCATCAGCCAACTTCCTAGCTATTTTAGTCAAGGTGAAACACCATCAATCAGCTTTGTACAGGGATTGACGTGCAGTAAATGAGCCAATCGTACTTACCTATTTCTATCAGCTTTGTGCTTGTTGCAATAAAACCTTCTATGCCACGGACAATGCTCCGCTGCAAATGCTGCAAGAATAATATAGAAGTGTAAGCTGATATGCATTTATTCACAAGTTAGAAGTTAAACCACTTTAGTAGAACTATGACTGGTTGAGAAAGAACTGAAGAATGTACCTTAGCTGCCTTTGTAGAACTGTATAGATCTTGAAGCTTTTGATGACATTGAAGCTCAACTTCATCAACAGTAATGTCTTCATTACTAAAATGCCCGAGATGCCTAAGTACTGCCTACAAGATACAGAAAATTTGAACCATATATTGTGAAAAATACCTCCAAAATGGATGAAACCACTAACAGTCACGTAAAAAATTTACTTATATAATAACGTTATGTTCCATCAGTAATGGTAAACAGAGTAATAAAAGAACGTACATATTTTAATTTTTACATTTCTATCACACAATATTCTGTGAAAAAAAAAGAACCTTCCACACATCCCAGCTCGTTGAGCTCAACTTGGAATTGGTTTACAAATTCTACAAGTAGACAGTTGCCTACAAAATTCAGGATTAAACACAAAGAAACTCCAAGGTTCTCATGTTTGTTATATTTGGCTCAAAAAGGGGGAAAAAAGAAAAAGAAAGAAAATTGTGGACTCCCGAGTCGCTTGTACATGTATACTATGAATAGGGTAGTCAACTTGGCGGCTATAAATTGTTTGCTTTTCTGGGGCTTTAGACAGAAGAAAAAGGAAAAAGTTAACATTAGAAATCAACGATTTGTTATAGGTGTGGTCATAGATAGCAAAGGGTAAGACATGAAAATTGGTAAAGCAAAGTATTATATATGATTGTTTTTATCAGTCTAGAGCCTAAACTTGAACCATATCAGCATCTTCACAAATTTGATTAAACAAATAAGGAAGCAGAAGCATAGAGAAATAGATAGGATGAATGATGAAAGGAAAGGAAGAAAAACCTACTTGCTGTTGCTTGGCAACTTGCTCTCTGAGCTTCGTAGCCTGCTTCTTGATAGCTTCCATATCTAACAGATAATTGGTTCAGAGGAAGAAGCCCAACAGATAAGTGGTGCTGATATGATGATTCCAGTAAATCAATGCCGAAAATCGACGCCAAGAGAGCAGATCTTCGAAAAGAGTAAGAGAGTTTGTTCACTTACTTTTTTGTGTTTGGTTTAATGGACTGGCTGTTTTCGGCTAATAGAAAGAGAAATCAATGGGAAAAGAAGACAAGATAGATTATCAAACGGTCTGGGCCGCCAGAGAAGAGGAAACTGTCCGTGGAATGCCCAAGGGAGTGTTGATATTTCGGTATTAACGGAATTAATTGATACAATCAGATTTAATTTGATTAATGATGGGTGATCCAATTAATTTTCGTCTTGAAAAGATTTTAGAAAATTTTCGTTAATTTACTTTAATAATTAGATTAATTAAATTAATTAAAAAATTAAAAATACATGAAATCGAATAGTTTTATTTTATAAATTTTTTTGTTATTTGAATATTTTAGTTAATAAATTATTTCAAATATCAAAATTAAAAAATAAAAAAATAATGTGATTTAAATATATTTATAATTTTATTAATTTAAAAATTAATTAAATTAAATTTAACAGATTAAAATTTTAAAATTTATTTAATTAATAAAAAAAGAATAATATAATAATAATTTTAACAAATAAAAGCCAAAGAATAGCATTTTTTTAATTTATTTTTTGAAGTGGCACTGTTAACTGTTGTCTGTTGTCTTGAATTGGAATTGACTTCTCGCTCCTGCTCCACTTTCACTGTGTACTTAGTAAATATTTGTTTGTGCGTAGTTGAGATGTTTGATTCCAGTTCAATCACTACAGCAAAATAATGTATTAGTGACAGTTTTGTAACAATTTTTAACTTATAAACGTTACTAATTTTCATGTTTTTATAAAATTTCAGATATTTATTATTCAGATATTATTAAATATTTAAATAGCAATAATGTTACTTATAAACGTCACTCAAAATTTGATATTACAGACGTTTCTTAACTAAAATTTCTTGAATATTTTTTATTAAAAATTTTAGTGAATAGTTAAAACATATTTTTGACAGATAGCATCTTCAATAATCACGTAATAAAAAATTGTATGAGATTAATGAATGTGTGTTATATAAGAAACACCTTTAATATTTGATCAAAAATTTTCTCAAGCTTATCGAATTTATTTTGTTCGAAGATACCTTCAATATTAAGCTTATCAAATTGTTTGGATTGTATGGATGTTTATCATAGGTTATAAGTTCGATCCCTCTAGCATTTTTTTAGGTTTTTGCACAGATTATTTGTAATTGATTATTCTAGACGTTTTCTTGACAAAAATACCTTCACCAATTGCTTTAAAAAAATTTCATAAAATATTGAAGTCGTTTTTCATGAAAAGATGCCCTTAATAATCCATAAGAAAGATATGGAGTTGATTCTTGAAGGCATTTTTGGCCGAACTCACATTCTATAATCCAATCAGTAAATTTTGTTTTTTGTAATTTTTAAAGGCGGTTTTATAAAAATTGCATTCAATAATTCATAGACAAAACTTGGATGGGATGTTTGAAGGCATTTTGGCTTAAAACGCCTTTAATATTTCCAACAATAAATTTTAATGGTCGGATATTGAAGACGGTTATATCTAAAAATGCCTTTATAAATATTTTGTTAAGGATTATTGAAGGCGTTACCGTATGAAAAAGCCTTTCATAATCAATTCGATTAATTTTTAGTTGGTATTATTGAAGGTATTTTTTACCCAAAATATTTTTAATATTTCACACAATAATTTCTTGGAGGAATTATTGAAGGCGATTTTGATAAAAAACGCCTTCAATATTTTCTGTTAGGAGTGATTGAAGGTTTTTTCTTGCTAAAAACGCCTTCATTAATCTCATAAACAAACATATTTGATACTGCATATGTGAAGTCAGTTATAGGTTTATGCTCAGAAAAACGTTTGCTATCAGTTGTATATTTATGTCCAGAAAACATTTGGTTTATATATCTGATACTATGAAGTACATTTTGAAATTTACATAATGAATATTGTTGTATTTCAATAAATTGACCATACATCCGAAATTAAAACTGATAACGTTACCATATTAATATAATTTTATGAAATAATCGTATTCAGTAATTTATTAAGTACATATAGTGTATTCATATTAAGTATAACAATAATATTAAACCAATACCCCAATATACAAATTTAAAGTTTCCATTCAACATGACATGTTAAAAACATTATAACAATTTGTTCTATATATATTTACATTCAACCAACAATGTCTAACCTGAAGGTTTATCAACATTGATAAATGATAATACATAATCACACCATTCTTTACGGACTTCATCTAGCTCCTTTTCTGTGAAGTTTTTTTTACCCTCCCACTAAGAAAAAATCAGAAGTAAATGTTAAGAAATGAGAACATAATGTACCATTTTATTTTTTTGAATATATAACGAGTTTATGAAATTTATACTAACCTTGAATGGTGTGATCATAAAATTATGTAACACTATCTCCCGCATAAAACGAAGGACATAATATCTATATTCAGTATTACAGGTTGATGAGGTACCTAAAAATTAAATTGAATGGGTTTAGAAAATATTTATCTACACAAACTCAATAGTAAAATAATATATTTTATATTTACCGGTAATAATACCCATTTTGGTTTCTTTATCTTCTTATCGAATGTAGATATTACCCTAAATTGAAAAGAAAAAAATTAGTGGGAACATAAATAAAATTACTTATGAAGAAACATAACATATATAATATAATAAAGTGTAATACCTCTTTATAAAAGTTTGAATATCGGGGTTAGGCATCACTGTTAGATTAACTGAATTAAGAAGGTATGGCATTAAAGATTTGGTGTTAATCACAATAAGTACCTAATGACGACTGTAAAATAATAATAATGATATACTCAGAATACGCATCAGATCATATTTGGGTAAGGTTAGAGTAATTAAGGTTGGAATATAGCTTATTGTGCATTATACGGGAGCAAATGATAATCAGCCAGTCTTTTCATGCATAAGATCATATGATTAGCACGATACACGACTGTACAACTCTACTCACTAATAAAATTGGGGTCAATGAATCTAAATCTGTTCATTAACTGTCTCCCCTTCAGCTCTCTATATAGGAAGCTACATGATAACAATCAACACTGTTGGTTAGTATTATACCCTAATACTAACTTACTGCATATTGAATGTGCATATTTATATTTATAAGCTAACCTCATATAAGCAACGATTTCAGCAGCTGATAATTTATCCATTTCATAAAATTCTTTAACCTCATCCACACCAATGAAAGAAAATTATTGTTTATCAAATAATTCTTCCTCAGACTCAATGGATATGAAGTTTTCGTTGGATAAATGCTCCAACGAATTTTTGTTAACTCATTCATAGAAGCCTGGGCAAAAGTCATACTGTGAGTCTGAACATCCTGCTACAATATTTAATGAAATATAAGTATTAAAACCAAATCAATCAATATAATAAACAAATTAATATTTAAATTATAAATAATATGATACTTTTTGGGTGGTAACGGATGATGGGATTGCTTCCTTACTTGTAACGGAAGCTTATCGTACGGGGATGATGCTATCAAGCCTGGCTACTGGCATAACCTGTTGCATTACTGCCAACATGGACTCCAAAGCAGTGAGTCTTTGCTGTCGATCATTGAGGTGTTGCTTCTAGTCATTAATTTGTTGCTGTTGTTGCTCAATTATTGCTTCATATTATGTATTTCTCATTCATGGGGTTTTTGGTTGTTTATCAAAAAACATTGATGGCAAGACAAATTTACCAACCCCACGAACCCGATCGAGCCTTTCTTTAGTGCCTAATACTAAAGACAAAAAATCTTCGCCATACTGGGTTACCAGTTCATCAGATTTGACTTTGGTAGCATAATCATCTTGAAAGACAATAACAAGTTGGGCTATTAGAACAAATCTATACAAGCTAGTATACACTCATGCATATAACCACAATGCCAATCATACATTATATAAAAAAAGTAGTTATACATATAATCTTTTTTACCATTTTCTCGATTGCTTTATCTGCGAAGGATCCATCTTTTTGTAGATATCTTTGTTTCCAGACATCCCATCTGAAAATTTTTGTGTTTGAGCTCACTGATTCTTATTAAATTACTGCAATAAAAGAATCAGAATATATGAAATGAATGTTCATAAATATTCATTAATGAGTATAAATAAGTGTGTGAATACATACAAGCTCATACTTCACATTTACATATCCTTTTCTTATTGTTCGATGGTGATATTATTGTTTGGCCCGAATGTCTCGAGTTGTTCTTTGATTTTCTACAAAATCAAGAAATTATGTTAATCACATATGAAGACTAAAGGCTATATTGCATAAAGACTAATAAACTTGGACTATTTTGGTAATGAGTTTGTGTACTGAAAAATCTTCTGAAAGTTGATATTGAACAAAATTTATCCAATCTTCAACATTTATGACATCTGCATATGTTGCAGGTGAAACAATCAATACATCACCTTCACCAGTCAACGATAAAATATATTGGGTTGTCAATCTGCTTTTAAAGTCTTTGAATACTTTTTCAGCAGATTACAACACAATCTTTTTACACTCAATTGGGGCGTCGAAACGTTCTTAAATAAGTTAACACAATTAATATCAACACATTGAATTTCAATTAAATGATCATTTAATAAATTTTACGAAATAGTTGAATAAAAATATCATAACCGACTGTTATATCTCATCCTTTAGATTATCAGAAACTCATCACCAATTGGTGTACGTAATTAAAATCCTTCGACGGATGATGGCTCCAATATAAGTAGTCATTTTGACAGCTCTTTTTGATATAGGCTACCCATTTTGATTGAAGTCAACATGGATTTTTATGTCAGTCACTTTGATTTGTTTATTTGGGCCCCTTTTGGCCTACACTTCTGTCTTATGCATGTTTATTAGAAGGAGAATAATGTTGTTCGAAGTCCATAATACCTGTAATATGGATCATAATTATACGAATTACACAATATGACCCTCTAAATTGATCACTGTACGTAATTTAATACAACCAATACCATACTACATACAAAAACATCATTTAGCACACCATTCAGCAATGTGCTCATATACACCCTTCAGCAAACCACTCATAAACACCATTTAACATACTATTCAGCCCTCCAATTTCATTAAAACCCACTTAGCAAAATAATATTCGATAATACGGTTTAGTAAACCATTCAGCATGAAATATGATTCAGACCCCCAATATCA